CTGGAGAGGAGAGGTCTATCTGGGCTGGTTCAGGTGGGCCCTGACTGCAATCCACTTGTATTTCTATAAGACACACACACAGAGGGGAGGACACACCGAGAAGAGAAGGTGGCAATGTGAATGCGATGTGGCCACAAGCCAAAGAACACATGGAGCCACCAGAAGCTGGATGAGGCAAGGAACGGACCCTCCCTGGAGCCTTGGAGGGAGCATGGCCCTGCTGTCACCTTGACTTTGACTTCCAGCCTCCCGAACTGTGGGAGAACACATTTCACTGGTTTTAAGCCACTCAGTTGATGGTAATTTGTTAAGCCAGCCCTAGGAAACTAACACAAGTCACTTCCCTTCAACTGTAAATAGGGTTTAACTTCCCAGTTCTGACATTCTCTCTGTCATTCCCTTAGCCGCAGACCCCTGTGGGAGGACAGGTCTCCACTGTCTAGGTTAACCCCTTCCATTGACATTAATGTCTAAACAGGTCTAATTTTCCCTTTGCCAAGGGTAAAATACCTTCACAGACAGTTAATTTTTTTTTGCTTACTATTAATTGCTGGAAAAATATTCAACCTTACCCCAAGGAAGCCATCCAAATTACTGTGACATCTCTGTGCATTTCAAAGAAAGCTTCAGTACCTGCTTTCTAATTTCTTCCAAACAGTCCCTGAAGCTTGAGGTTAAAGGAGTTTGGTGAACTCTGCTTTGGGGCTGCTGGGTAAATGCATACAGAGGTAATTGACTCACCTCATCCCAGCACCCGCTCCAGCCTTCTCTGCAACTCTACCACCAGTAGTTCACCAAGTGACAGCTCAGGACTCAGGCAGCCAGCTACATGACTCCAGGTTTTCTTAGAATGATCTTAGAATAAAAGGCTTGGGCATGCTTCTAATAATGGGACTAAAATGCCCTAATTTTCTATTTAGTATCTGTCAGGCACTTAAATTAAAGTCATTATTGTCCCATATGCCCACCCCCAGTGTGTGTGTGTGTGTGTGTGTGTGTGTGATCCCAAGGCTAACAGGTTCGACAGAGAAGAGCTCTGGGAAGGCTGGATAGAGGCAGGAAGCCTCCGGGTAGACGTGGGGAGGTTGCGCCCTCACACCTGGGTGCTAGGGAGGGCACTGTGGATCTCAGCAGCGATGCCAACACCAGCAAGGGCCTTTTGGAAATGTGTGAGAAAGCATCTTCCTAGTCTTCTTTCAGAAGCTGGTTTATCAGGGACTGTGCTTAAGAGGAGGAAGTTGCCCAGCCAGCCTTAGCTCAGCTACCATATGCCTGGGAAGGGCTGAGGACTGACCCCAGAGAGGCTCTGGCTGCCACCACAGATCTTCCCTTGGAGATGCCTGAGTGCAGGAACTGGCCAGTCCACCCCTCAGAGGGCATCTCTGGAGATGAGAAGAAGCGAGGCTGCCCAGGGCAGAGCATTATAGAAGCGGCTTGTGGGGATGGAAGAGGAGCAGCTAAGAGAGAAAGGCTTTTTGGATTTGGAAACAAGCAAAAGGCACGAGGGAGAGAAAGCACTGAACCCAGATCAGGAGTCAGCGCCCTCATGGAGCCGGCCAAGGCCGCTGACTGCATTTAGTAACCTCTGAACGAAGAAGAGAGGGCAGCCTGCCAGCAGCGCCGGCTCCTTGGCGGTGGCCACTTTCAGGGCGTAGAAGGGAGAAGTGGGGGGCATCGTCTGGGCGAGGAGCCTCCCTAGAGGCAGAGACAAACGGACAGAAGGAAACACAGCGTGTCATTTGCACTCCACAGAGGTGGTTCTGCTATGGATCCTGCCCCTGCCTGGGACTTGCTTAAACCAGAGGCCTCATATTCCAGGCCAGCTACACTACACATCCCTTCTAATTAGGGTGGGATTAAGGGGCGTAATGACTTTAACCAGGGTGTCCGCATTTCTGGGAAGTCTTCTGTCTTCCATTTAGAAGTAAAGGCATCAGCTTTGAAGGAATCCCAGGTTACTGAGTAATCATCATAATAAGATTGAGAATGAAGGTGACCTATACAAGCATGATAAATACACAATTTTCTCTGCTCAGTAAGTGAATTTTGATTATAACACAGCACTTGCCTCATGTCCTAAAATACTGTCAGCATTCTCAGGAAACCCCGGGAAAGAACAAAGTGCAAAAATGCTTCCACAAACAGAACAAAACAAAAAACACAGGCTTCCCAGCCCTTTTATGTAGCTACATGCCACCTAGGAAACTGCAAGCAAGGTTACAGTCTCTCTGTCCTTAGTCACCATTTCATGTACCAGCCTATCATACAAAGTGCAGGGAAGCACCACAGATCAATAGCTATTCTGGGTTAACACTGCCACAGCTTTATTTTTCTTTAAAAGAATGTTTTCCCATGTGGAACACAGCTTATTATATCCCAGGCATATTTCTGTGGTCTGTCTATGGAAATTAATGCTTAGAAGGAGCACTTTTTTCCTTTTGAGATTTTATGAACTTTTTAATATAAGTGATGGGAGCAGCAATTAGTCCTTTAACAGCTCTGCAAATGACTGTTAGCCCTTAGGTTTGAGAGGCAGGTAACATTTACCTAATGAGCCACCTGGATCATGAATGAGCATGCAGGGGCCTTTCAAGACGTTACTGAAACCGCCAGGGAGAGGCCTGGGCTGCAGAGGTCTCTGGCTGGCACAGCCCCCGCGAGCCTTGTTCGTTCTGCTGCGCCTCCTGGTTGCACCAGCAGCACTCTACTTGCTTTGCTTACCTGCAGTGAAGCTCATCTGAGCAAACTCTCTTAAGTGGTTTTTATGGGAAGTGAAAAGTCACATGAGAATGTATTTGAAAAAGTGAGCCATGGAAACTAGCCTCTCAAAGCATATGTCACCTATTTTTATGTTACTATTTATATGGTTTCTAAGATGGCTAAAGGCTTTAAGTGAATCCCTACATATTATGTACAGTAACATAATTTTTTTGAAGAAGAGTGTTATAAAGCACAACCACCTCTAGTATCTCTTTTCAGCCTCACAGAGCCACAGAGGAGGCAGGATAGGTATTTGTATGCTCATTTGGAAAGTGAGGAAAGACTTGGAGAGGTTGAGTCTTGAGGTCATGCAGCTAATCAGAGCTGACCCATGGCCTCCAACCTAACTCTGGACTCCTGGGTTTAGGCAGCAGGACTACTTGTCAATATCCAGGCATATGTCACTGAAAAATATACACAAATGCATTTCACCCCACCCCACATCCACCAAGATCTTAGCACCCTTCTGTTCCTCCATAATCAGCAGTAGTCAATGAGCTATATAAATTCAAACTTTGGAAATGCTAAATCTCATAAACAATTTTTAAATGTATTAAAATGCAAAACAGGAGTAAACAACATTTCTTGCCACAGGGAACTAACTAATGTGAAGTGACAAAATAATGGGAGTTTGAATGTGGTCTCAAAAGTGGCCATGAAATGGAATTCAGAATCATAATTTAATATGTACACCATATACTTGCTTTGCCAAGGATGACTGGGTGAATTCTCATTTATAAAACTAAGTCTTAAAGGAAAAAAGAAATAGTGAAGTGAGGGGAAAGAAAGAGCAAGAAAGAGGACATACATGGGGACAAGAGCGAGAAAGGTGCGTGAGATGGTGTGAGTCACAGCTTGGGGACCACAGAAAGCCAGATCATCATAGTGTGCCCAGAGCAGTCCATCACCCCTCCACCAGGACTGGCCTTGGCAATGGCCCCAGGGACTGCAGGCAGCTGTCTCTTCTAGAGACTTGCAGAGATTGCGGGCTGTGTTGGAGGCACCCACCAGAATTGACCTGCAGTGATTCGACGGAGAAGTCTCTATAGGAGTTTATAAAGTGATGGGCAACAAGCAACACCCTTCCTGCCCAAGATCAGGGTCAGAATGACAGATCTATTCTCCTAGAGATTACGCCAGCACTCTTCCTCCAGACATGCCCTTCCCTCTATTACTCAGCCCAGGGTATACTGAAGACAGAAAAGCAACTCCCAATGCGTCCATCATTTATTTTAATACAGAGTCATGATGGCTTGGTTTCACATTTGGGGAGTTCAGCGGTGCCTCGGTCCCTCCACTACTGCTCTGTCTTCCAGCTTCCTCACCAGCTCTAACTAGAGGCTCTTCATTCACATCCTCATCAACCTCGGCTGGGATGTGGTGTGGTCCTCTAGGATCCCATATTTTGGCTGTTCTTTTAAAGAGCATTGACCTGAAGGCACAAATGCAGAGGCAGAGGCGCCAGACGCGCAGCCGGGTGGCCACAGGCCACACAGCACCCGCAGCTGTCTGCGGTGATGCAGACAGGAGCTCGGAGCCGGTTTTATTATACAACTGAAGCAAATCGGCCTCCTCCGGTCCCCAGTGCAAGTGGGCGGGGAGGGTGGGGGTGGGGTGTTCAGCTCGCAGGAAGCAAAGAAGACAAACTCCTGACTCCCCCCCCCCCCCACGCACACACACGCACTCACGCACTCACACTCACGCCGAGTCCAAGCGCAAGGAAAACACTGCAGAAAGAGCCCCCTCACCAACTCCCTGGCCCCTGTCTGGGTGTTTCTGCCCCCCGTTACTTCAGCGGCAGCCAGAGGGGGTTCCAAAATCCATGCACTTGCCTGCTTTTGCATACACGTGGACAGACTACAAATTTGGGTAACTTTTCAAATCCTGTCTACTGAACACTTGCCCACAAATATTTGAGAGAGGGGCGGGGACGCCCCTTAACCCCCTCCCCCCACTTCGACCCGCACCACACTCTTGGTCAGACAGTTTGGGGGAAAGAAACTAGCCGGTCACTGCAGCTGTTCGGCCAGTCGGGCGAAAACGCACTGCCACCGAGGGCGCCAAACCGCCTGGAGACCCAGAGCAGCCAGGGCAACCTCTCCGAGTCTCCGGCACGGACCCAGCCCAGCGAAACAGCCTTTGCCAGGGGCTCCGTGCACGCGCCGGAGGGTCACCGACGCCCGGGGAGAAAGGACTGGAACCCGAGCGGCGTGAATATAAAACCGTAGAGAGCAGCTCACCTTTAGGTTGTGGGTGGGGTTTACGACGCAGACAAGTTGGCCAGCGGCGGAGAAGACCCGTTTAGCCCTGTAGTGCTGAAAGCGGAGGTGAATGAGGTCTAACACAGCTCCAAAGCACTGGGTAAAGAAAAGCATCACAACTTTTGGGGGGTCGTTGGCACAGGAAGGCAGCGGAGGCGCCGTAAGTCCGCGGGCTCTGGAAGGAGCGCAGCCTCGGAGACTCTCGGCTCCAGACCGGCTTAGCGTGCCTTCATATTCATCATCAAAATAAGACGGTTGGAATCTTGCAGCAGTGAGGCGGCCAATCAAAAGGACAGAAGTGTTATCCTTGAGGTGCAGAGACAGCCAATAACAAATGCCTCCCCGACTGAAACTCCCTGATGAATTGAGCCTGGCGGAGAATGTATTATTGAACATTACCATAGATCAGCACACTGCATTTATCTTGTGATTACAGCCAACCATACATAATGCTGGGGAGATAGGCTGACAAAATTGATTGCTTAATGTGTCTCCATTTATTAATTGACTTAATTTAACATAAGAGCCTTTCTTAATGCGCTGGCAAAAACGTTAAGCGTTTAAACCTCCAAATAGTAAAACAGCCTGTTCCAAAGTAGGCAGATGGATAACGCAGATCGTGGCTTGACTCACCAGAGCTGCTTGGGAGAAAATCAAATATTACAAGACTCCTCTGATTCCAGATAAGGGTTTGGCAGAGGAAGAAACGTACATCTTTTAATCTCGCTCACTGTCTGCAATTTGGGTTTCAGCCCCTTGAAAAAATCTTACTATCCACTCTTTATTAAAAAAAAAAAAAAAAAGTCCCGGACAAGGAAACGAACAAATCATATATGCATATGTGTGTATATGTGTATATATACATGTACATATATACATATATATATCCATAATACTGTAATTACTGAAGTCTGAAAATATTAAAGCATAAAAACGCACTGAGCATGCTTCTAAAAATAATGAAATCCCTGATGCATGAATGCACACACACAGAAAAACCTGCACAGGGAGGAAAGTGGCTTGTAAATCAGCAAAATAATTACAGATGCCGAGAGTCTTTGCTTGTCATTCATTTGCATATTGGTGGGCAGCACATTTCTAATTAACCACTAAATTGTTGGATCCATTAAAATAGAGATTAAGAGCACACATACCACATAATTCGCTGAGTCTGCGAGTCCCAGCCACACCTGTCTGAGCTGGAGCAGGCATAGGGTTCCAGTCCTCAGGCTGCACTCCCTCTTCAGAACGGGGCTGGGGGTGGGGGGCGGGGCTTGTGCATGAATTGCACCCAGAGTTGTGAGCCCATTGCTCCTTCCGGAATGTCTCTCACTCTGCTCTGGCTACATTACAGTGTTGTAATGTATGAATATGTACATACATCTGAACACCTATTCTGTGAGCTGGCCAGGCAATTAAATCAACAACAGATTAAAAAATAAGGGGGAAAAATGGCCAGGTTTGTTGAAACTTGAACAAAGTCCAGGTGTTAGTTTTCATTTGAATTTTAAACTAAACCAAATGTTTTAAGAGACAAATAAGCCAAACACCAATTAAAATGGAAGCTTTGTACTTTCTAAAATAATTACACTGGCACAAAACTAGAAGATGATTAGGACCTCATCAATATGATACTTTTATAGGATATGAGTCCCTGCATGCATCATTACATGGTTTGTAAATAAGGTTGCTGATCCACAACAGTGGCATTCGCTCTCTAAAGTTTTTAGTTTCCAGGACAATCAACATTTTAGTTTTCAGCTGGAAAACATTCAATGTACTTTTATTGCCTTACATAAAAAATAAAAAAAAGTAAGATTGCAATCTCATAGATTTCTTAAAAACACGTCTCATAATTTATAAAGGTCCAAACTTCCCTTTTCTCTATCCTTTGTTAGAATGTAACTACTGTGTTTTTATTTTTCCCTTTGTGCAACTTGAGACAGGTCTCTTAACCTCATCAAGCTTGGATTCCGCATCTGTCACAAGGGAATAATAAAAATTTCTTTCTTTCAAGGTTATTGTGAAGACGAAGATGATGTATCTGGAAGGAACCAGCCCAATGCCTATTCAAAGGAGCCTCTCAATACTTGAGTCTAATGAAAGTCTTGGTGGAAGGATGATTATTTGGCAGTATATTTCCTTTCTGCTCCATGAAATATTGTCCCCCACTGATATTCATGCTATCATCCAGGCCCAAGCAAGCAAAGAGCATGATAAGAGTAAACCCTTGGCTCCTGCTGTATTTTTAAGGGTTAATGTTCCTGCTATTACCGAGAGACCTGCCTGGGACTGAGGGGTGAAGGGCTCAAGAGCGCACATTGACATCAGTGGTAAGAACAGTGCTACGGACCTGCTATTATGGTTTCCTTTCCTTGGTCTCAGACTTGATACCTCTCTCTAATTCTGTATTCTAACACGGGTCTACTTCACTCTCTTTTAAAATATTTTTTTTATTAATTGAATTTATTGGGAAGACTTTGGTTCTCAAAACCATATAGGTTTCAAGTGTACAACTCTATAAAACACCAGCTGCACACTGCATCGTGCGCCCATCATCCCAAGCAAAGTCTCTTTTCATTCCCATTCTCCCCACCCCCTTTGCCCATCTCCACCTAGCCCCACCTCGTTTCCCTCTGGCTATCACCACATTGTTGTCGGTGTCTATATGTCAAATATATGTTTTTGGCTAATCCCTTCACCTTCTTTTATCCAGTCCTCCCAGCCCCCTCCTCACTGACAGCAGTCTGTTACATGTATCCATGCTTCTGTTTCTATTTTGTTCATTAGATTCCACATATAAGCGAGATCATGTGGTATTTGCCTTTTCTGACTGGCTTGTTTCACTTAGTATAAAAATATCCAGGTCCATCCATGCTGTTGCAAAGGGTAAGATTTCCTTCATTTTTACAGGCAAGTAGTATTCCATTGTGTAAATGTACCACAGCTTTTTAATCCACTCACCTACTGAGGGGCACTTGGGCTGTTTCCAAATCTTCGATATTATAAATAATGCTGCAATGAACATAGGGGTGCATATATTTTTTCAAATTAGTGTTTCAAGAGTCTTAGGATATATTCCCAGAAGTGGGATCTCTGGGTCAAAAGGAAGATCCATCGTTAATTTTTGAGGGCACCCCATACTGTTTTCCACAGTGGCTGCACCAGTTTGTAGTCCCACAAACAGTGCACAAGGGTTCCCTTTTCTCCACATCCTCACCAGAAATTGTTTGTTGATTTTTTGATAGTAACTATTTTAGCAGGTGTGAGGTGATACTTCATTACAGTTTTAATTTGCATCTCTCTGATGATTAGTAACCTAGAGCATTTTTTCATATGTCTATTGGCCATCTGTATGTCCTCTTTGGAGAAGTGTCTATTTAGGTCCTTTGTCCATTTTTCAATTGGGTTGTTTGTCTTCCTTTTATTGAGTTGTATAAGTTCTTTATGTACTTTAGAAATTAACGCCTTACCAGATGTATCATTGGCAAATATGTTCTCCCATACAGTGGGTTCCCTTTTCATTTTGATGATGGTTTCTTTGCTGTGCAGAAGTTTTTTAGCTTCATGTAGTTCTATTTGCATATTTTTTCCTTTGTTTCTCTTACCCTAGTAGATGTATCAATGAAAATTCTGCTGCGTGAGATGTCTGAGATTTTGCTGCCTCTGTTTTCTTCTAGGATTTTTATGGTTTCAAGACTTACATTTAAGTCCTTCATCCATTTTGAGTTTATTCTCGTGTATGGTGTAAGTTGGTGGTCTAGTTTCATTTTTTTTTGCATGCACCTGTCCAATTTTCCCAACACCATTTATTGAAGAGACTGTCTTTACTCCATTGTATGCTGTTGTCTCCTTTGTTGAATACTGATTGAGTATAATGTTATGGGTCGATTTCTGGGTTTTCTGTTCTCTTCCATTGATTTATATGCCAGTTCTTGTGCCAGTACCAGGCTGTTTTAACTACAGTGACTGTAGTATAGTTTGATATCCACTATTTTGATCCCTCCAACTTCATTCTTCTTCCTCAAGATTGCTGTGGTTATTCAGGGGTCTTTTTTGGTTCTGTATAAATTTTTGGAGTATTTTTTCTAGGTATGCAAAATATGTTCTAGGTATGTGGTTTTTTAATAGGGATTATGTTGAATCTATAGATTGCTTTGGGTAGGTAACACAGACATTTTAATTATGTTAATTTTTCCAGTCCATGAACATGGCATATGCTTCCACTTGTCTGTACCACTCTCTATTTCTTTTTCCAATGTCCTATCCAAGTTTTCCAAGTTCTTTTACCTCTATGGTTGTTTATTCCTAGATATCTCATTTTTTGTTGTTGTTGTTGCAGTGATAAATGGGATTGTTTTTTTGTTTGTTTCTGATTCTGAGACTTCATAATTGGTGTATAAAAATGCCATCGATTTCTGGATGTTAATTTTGCATCCTGCTACTTTTTCAAATTCATTTTATTAAGTTTATTAGTTTTTTGGTGGAATCCTTGGGGTTTTCTATGTACAATATCATGTCATCTGTGAATAATGACAGTTTTACTACCTCCTTTCCAATTTTGATGCTTTTTATTTTTTTCTTCTTGTATGTTGCTGTGGCTAGGACTTCCAGATCTATGTTGAATAGGAGTGGTGAAAGCAGGCATCCCTGTCTTGTTACTGTTCTTACGGAAAATGCTTTTAGTGTTTGCCCATTGAGTATGATGTTGGCTGTTGGTTTGTTCTATATGGAATTTATTATATTGAGTGATAACTCCTCTATTCCCACTTTGCTGAGAGTTTTTATCAAAAATGAGTGCTGGATTTTGTCAAATGCTTTTTCTGTGTCTATTGATATGATCATATGACTTTTATTTTTTATTTTATTTATGTGATGTATCACATTTATTGATTTGCAAATATTATACCAGCCTTGAATCCCTGGAGTAAATCCTACTGGGTCATGTGTGTGATCATTTTAATATATTGCTGATTCGATTTGCTAATATTTTTTTTAATGAATTTTTATTTATTTTTTTGTTACAGATATTTAACCTTTTTACCCCATTGGCACCCCCCACCCCACCCCACCCCCGCCCTGTCCCCGGCTTAGTTGTCCATGTCCATTGGTCATGCATACATGCATATAAGTTCTGTGGTTTATCTCTTCCCACCCCCCCACCCCCCATTCCCTCTTCTGAGGG